CCCCAAAACCCCAAAACCCCAAAACCCCTAGACATCTCCAAAGTTGATATTATATAATTAATTATTTCACTGCAATGAAACTTATTACTATTGCAAAGATCCTTACGTATCTTTTTTGGGTCGGGGACTGTGACCAAGAGGAGAAGCCATTATTTTATGAAAGCTGGAAAATACTTGATGACGAAAATGATTCGATAAAGATAAAAAGTTCTCACATTCTTGCTTTCAGGTCTGATAAAGCAAGACAACATCTGATTATGATGTCTGAAATTACGGAATATATGTCAAATGGAAAAGAGCAGAACTACGTAATGATTCAATACAATGGTACCTCATATAAATTTGCTGAAATTGCTAGCTATAATAGCTTTGATGTAAATGAAGAAAAAGGTATGGCTTATTTTCACAACTCTGCCAAATCCCCAGACACAGACGGTAATCTTAGGATATACTGAATAAATTATGCTGACGCTAAAATGAAGGAAGTTAAAGTTTATAATATAACAAACCTGGGGCTCAGATTAATGGCTCCAGAGTTTGGTAGATTGAAAGTGATTGAACAGACAAATAAGGTTGTTTTTACAGCAAAAGATACTGATTCCAGAAAGTATATCTGCCTTTTTGAGGAAAATAAGGAAGTGGGTAAGAAAATTGAAGAACAAAGAGCAAACTATAAAATATCAACATAGCTATTTTCCTTTTGCCAAATATAATTTTGAAACTTTTTGGTTAACTATGTTGTTGATAAACTGTTCACTGAAGTGATTATAGGAGACAAACCAAGTGCTAAAATAAATTGTATCAGGCTAAGAAACCAGGCTTGGGGTGAAACCTTTATCCATTATGATGATGGTATTAATAAATCAAAAGTTCTGTTCTCAAAGAAGGCAGATGCCAAGAGAATCACATTACAAATTATTGACTTTGACTATGAAAATGAAATATCTTATTGGATTGACACCCCAGAAACCCTAAGCGATAATATGCCAATCAGTGACGGGTATTACTATAAGTATGACAATACTGACCAAGTTGGATACTTCTACTTGTTTGCATGTTTTGGCCAAAGATTGGTATTATATAAATTTGATGCAGTTAGGGATACACTACATCTTGGCAACGAGTAAGTAATAATATTCTTACTTTTATCTTTTCTGATCAAAATCTATCTTAAATTTCAAAATTTCATCAATAATTTCTCATCCAGAATCTAGGACTTACCAGATGAAATTGAGCGAGTCATTAACTAAAATTACCTTCATTGACACTATAAACGATACCAATTACTGACTGTTTTCTTCTAAATCTTCAAATAAAGGAGGAAGCTTACAAGAAGAAAAGACTTTTCTGACAATTTTTAGCATTAAACAGAACAGAACACTTGTTTATGAAGTGAACACTAAAAGTAATCGCATTCCTCTTTTTCTGACCGACCCAAGACTACATTTTGCATTGAAAGATTATAATAGACCAGATGTTGACAAAGAAATTTATTATGTCAAGTCAACTGTTCTTCTTGAAAGTGCAAATATAGCTGTGGGAATAGATTATCAGCCAAATATCACATTCCAATGGCTTATAGAAGAGCGAGTTACTCTAAAAATCAATACTAGTAACCCTTATTCCACCGTTAATGAATCTTCAGCTTTTGGAGACTCAATAGTAAGAAATCTAATAAAATATAGACTCCTATATTTTCCACTCGAATTGATACGAAAAATGACAAAAAAAATTTAACTAAAAATTTAAATCTTGCTCCAAAATACATCGACATCAAGAATGGAGATAAATTTTTTGTTGATGCCACCCCTGATCTTGAAATTGATCCAATTGTAGAACTTTGAGACAAAAAGAATGATCTAAAAAAGGATAAGCATTGTGACCAGTTCATTTGAACTTATCATAAAAACAAAACTGATAAGTAAGCCATCGAAATTCAAGTTTAGTAATTTGGAATGAGAACCTAAGAAAATTCTTGAGTCTCCAAAAGATTTTAGGACATATTTCGATAATAAATATAGCCTATCTGGATTTGATAAGAATACATATTACCAGCCAATTCTTATTAGTCAAAGCCAGTGTGTAAATGGATGAAAAAAATGTGAAAAACTGGATGATCCTACCCAGAACAATGATCCAAACATACAAAGAAAATGCAGTAAATGCTATACTGAAATAGGGTATATCAAGAATGGAGAGAACATTTGTGTTCCAACCTTCTATTACTTTATTAAATACTCTCAGTATGTACTAACCCCAGTCCTCACACTCCTATGGGCCCTGTCCTGGAAGCAAGAATACTTCAACTTCTTCAAACTACACATCCTACACTACCAATCTTTCTACTTGATCCTGTTTATTACTTTCAACATGTCTATTTGGAAGACAATATTTGATGCTTTTATATTCTTCAGAGGGTTGAGTTTTCCAGCTGTCTATTTATTCCCTCCTGCTATTGTAATATATATGTATTTTGACCCAGACAAGGATACCAGAGAAGACGACGGCAGAAAAGCAAGCTTCAGTCTTGGGGAATATCTTCAACATTATCATTTGTTCTTGCTTTCTCTTATCTTCTGTCTCATACTTCTTTATGTATGTTTTAAGGTTGTGAGAAAAACTTGGAGTGAACAAATTAGAGCCAAGCTAGGCTATGCTATTTGTTTGCTCATTCATTACAGCTTCTTTGGAATGCTTGATAACCTCAGGTGGCTTCTAGGCAGAACATTTAGTCATGATGATGAAGACAAGACGATGAAGCCTTTTGAATTAACCTCTATGATGATTCTTGAATACCTGCTGATGGGAATAATTATGTTTGTATACTTCTGTGTTTGGGGTAGAATTATTATGAAGTTCTTGAAAGCAGTCGCAACAGATAATATTCTTGTGCTTAGAGAGAACCCAATGGTGAGAGGACTCTGAGCTAACCACCCAAGCCATTTCTTATTTTATCTATTCATTGAGATTAAATTTATCATTCAGTTTAAAACCCCGTTATGGGGTTTTGGGGTTTTGGGGTTTTGGGGTTTTGGGG